TTTAAGAAAAAATGAAAAATGCTTATAATAGTAATTTTTGATTGCATTCATTGCTATTAGTTAGGGGGAGTTTATATTCTTTGATGAAAATTAGTTTTATGTTCAAATGTAGTTTAAGGATTAATTTGATTGATTGAACATGATTAATTTTCAATATATGAGTTGCCAATACCACTAGAGCTAATTAATTTAGCATTTTGAGTGTTTAAAACGGATTTTTGACATCTTTATGCTTAATGCATCGATACACTTAACAGTGCATCGATGCATCCCTTTGAATGTGCATCGATACATCATGAATATGCACCTATGCACTCCTTGAATGTGCATCGATGCACAAGGTCATGCATTGATGCATCCATCAGGTTTTTGGATAAAAACCCTACTTCTTCCTCATTTTCTCAAAACACTCTTAAAACTCTCTCGTGGCTGTCGCTCCTCTCCCTCTCCTTACTCTCAAAATTGCTCCAAAATCAACGTTTTTGATTGGAATTCATTCTCATTTCATCTCAAGTCCTGCTACTATCATTAAATCGTGCAACACAACTTCTCATTCTTATCAATCCGAAATTTTCAAGGTATTTTTCTAAAAACCTCTATTTTATCATATTTTGATTTTAGAACTAGTTTAGATTAGTTCTAGGATGAACATTATATCGGACATTGATTGTTTGGTGATTAGAAACTAGATTTTACAACAAATTTTTGTCAAAAACACACAATATTTCAAAATTTTCAGTGAAATTTGAAATAAAAAAATTCGAAAATCTTTTGATTTATTTAGATGGTTTTGACTCAATTATATTGTTTTTCATGAAAACTATACATATTATGATTTTTCAAAAATTATTTTCAAATAGTTTTCAAAACCTTGCCCATTAGGATTTAGTTTAGAGAACCTTGAATTATTGCGGACTCAATTGAGTTTTAGGATTGATTAAATTGCATACATGTATTTTTTTTTTCAAATTGCAGGTTACATTACTTATTCCGATTCCTTAAACTATGTCAAATCATAAACGCCCTAGGACCTATTTTAGTCGTTCTACCCAACCTTCTAATCCCGTTCCTCCTCCACCTACAAATCTTATAGGATCCTGTTTTAATATGCCTGAACGTCGTAGAGGCGACTTGTACCATAGGTACATGAATTCTTTCCAATCTTATAGAATCCGGGAAGAGCGTATTTCTTCTGTTCAAGCCATGATTGATATTGACTTCGAATACCTTCCGATTCTCAAAACATGGAAGTTTGATAAAATGTTTCACTTAAAACCTATCGTCTATCATCAGTTAGTCCGTATTTTCTACTCTAATGCGGTATGTATTCAAAACCAGACTCAATATGAGACTATAGCAATCAGATCCTACCTTTTAGGACAATATATTAATATTGAATCTGAGACTATAGCTTCACATTTTGGGCTAGATGACGATGGTTTATATAATGAGAAAGAAACTGTGGAATATCCCTATGTTCCAAATGCTAGTGTTAGTACTCTACGATCTCATCATGATCGTCTTCTACATTTGATGATCTCTTGGTGGTTTAGACCATCCGGAGGTAGGTTCTCCACTCTTCGTACTAGGGATTTATGGTGGATACACTGTATCAAGAACAAGAACAAAATAAATTTGCCACACATTATATTTAGTGAGCTATTGGACACCATAAACATTATTCCTTCAAAATATGTCGAAACATTAGTTTATGGATGTCTTCTTAGTAACCTTTTTATCAAACTCGGTCTTAATAATCCCATTTCCCTTCAAAACCAAATCAATCTCACCTCATTGAAGAAAGCTATTTGGAAACATGACGAGGAAACTGGTCAATGGGTCTTTCGACCCTCTAAGCAAACTCCGGCACCAATGAACCAATCCATGCATCGATGCACCAATGAATAAATTGAACATCGAATGCAGTTTATGCATCAATGCACTCTCCATGCATCGATGCACTCAGGATTTAATGAAACATCGAATGCATTTTATGCATCGATGCACAAGCCATGCATCGATGCACTCAGGCTATTTTAAGACATCGAATGCATTTTATGCATCGATGCACACTTAGTGCACCGATGCACTAAGTGTTCCAACAGTCAAAATATTTGAATTTTACACTTGATGCACCGATGCACCTTGTGTATGCATCGATGCACTGACGCCCCCAACTGATTTTATTAATTGTTTTCATACTTAAACGACTCTATTGACTCCACTAATCATCCCCAACGTTCAGAATCAATTGAAGGAGTATTTAAACAAGTTCTGAAGCCATTGATCAATAAGAACTCATCGAGAAACAAGAGAGAAAGCATCAAACACCAAGTTTGTGCAAATCAAGCCAGTTTTCCTTCAATATTCATTTTGCTTTCAATAACACAATTTGTGCTCATTTGTAATTATCTTTGAGTGTTTTTATCTTGTTCTAGAATTGTGCAAACATATTGTCTTATGAGGTTTTCCTTGTAAGTTTGCAAATTTGTGTATTTCTCTTTGAAAAAGAGTGTGCTCAAGAATTGGGGTATAATTCTTGAGGGAGTTGTAAGGTTCTCTTTGTCCTCAAAAGAAAGAACAAATTAGTGAATTTGTTGGAAAATCCTTAGTGTGGATAGCTAAGGTAGTGGACGTAGACTTTGGTTGAGAAAGTCGAACCACTCTCTGTGCAAATTACTTTCAATTTTCTGTAAAAGCTTCCACAAACTTTTTAATTGCCAATTCACCCCCTCTTGTCCGATTCCATCGATCGATTAACTCAACAAAAACGTTTTCGTTTAAAAAACAAAAATTTCACCAAAACGACATCATTTTGCGTCTATATAAAAGTCTATATAGCAACGTTAGTGAAAAAATGATTGAGTGACCAAAAAAGCTCAATGTATTAAGTTCAATAAGGAATTAAAAAGATTTAAAGTACAATAAGTAAAATAAGAGAGAGGGTAATGCCCAGTCACCAAATTTATAATTTATCCTTTTATTAAATATCAAAATAAAATTATAAAATTTGAAAGTTAAAGTAAAAAGTTATTTAAATGGGTTTAAGGGTTAGTTTGGCAGTTTTTAAAAAGTTATTTAAATGGGTTTAAGGGTTAAAGTAAAAATTTTCTCTGTTTAATGAGCATTCTTTGAGTTTTTCAAAAATTCGTGGGCAAGGGTATGATGGAACCATCAATATGAAGGGTGAACTTAATGGTCTCAAAACACTTATCATGAGAGAAACACAATCTGCGTACTACATATATTGTTTTGCTCACCAATTTCAATTAACTCTTGTTGTCATTAAAAAAAAGATTGTGGTTGGTGTTTTTATACACTTGTAGATTTGTTGAATGTTGTTGGATCATCTTGCAAGTGAAAAGATTTGCTTAAGAGAAAACAAGTTTAAAAAAATTGTCAAAACCTTTGAAAATGGTAAACTTGTGACTGGAAAAGGTTTAAACTAAGAGCTTGATTTAGGTAGGCCATCCGATACACGTGGGGGTCTCATTATAAGTTAATTTTGAATGTGATTGATTTGTATTCTTCAATACGTGAGGTGCTTGATTTGATTGGTAATGATGCTCAAAAGTCGATAATGAATATCGTGAAGAATAAATTTCGAAATATCATAAAATTGATGTTGATTATTCCCGTAGCAACCACAACTGTGGAAAGAACATTTTCTAAAATGAATATCGTGAAGAATAGATTGCGAAATAGCACATGTGACCAATTTCTAAATGATTGTTTGACCACTTATATAAAAAGTGATGTTTTTCTCCAATTGATGATGAAGTAATCATGAAACTTTCAAAGAATGAAAGTCTGTCGAGAATAATTATCATTACTTTAGTTATAGTAATTTGTTTTGCTTTTCAAATGAATTGTCATTTTGAATTATGTAATTTTTTATTAATAAATATTATATTATTTATTTTGAACCCATTTTTTAATTTCTAGGTTCATCACTATCTATCACATAATATATCACATCATAAGCAAATTAATATATCACATCATATGCATACATATTCAACCTAGCAATCAAATTATTTTATCAATAATATAACATTACAATAATCTAAATAGACACGCACAATAATATGTTCAAATAAATATATACGTTGCACAATAGAGAGACATACTTAGAATTACACGACACGAAGTTTACTGATAAGTATTTTTTTCTACGGTCGATAGTTCAGTTATTTAGATTAGTACAAAAAGTCAGCGTTACTAGTTTTGATTATTAGGGATGTCTATATCTAATATAATTTTAAAAATAAAAATAATAATTTTGATAAAAATATGAATAATTTTAATAATAATAGTAATAGGTTTAACAATATTTTTAATAACGGTGATAATAATAATAATAATTTGAATAACAATAATATTAAAAATTAAACAACAAAACATAAAAATATAAAGCAATAAAGAAGGAAGGACAGAAATAGGATGGTAAATGAGTAAAGTCGAGCTAGAATTAAAAGCTCTCGAATTTAAAATTATTAAGTTCAACTTAAGTTGAAAATAAAAAATTAAAGTTTAACTTGAGTTTAAAAAAGATTGAACTCGCAATATTCTTAGGTTTACTGGAGTTCAAACATTAACCTAAGTACATTAACCTTATATTTTATATTAAAAATTAACAGTTAAATATTAATATTATTAATAATTTAATTTTAAAATATATTAATTTTAAGTTACACGCAAACTTTTTCAGTCGGATATAAAATACTTCGCTTCAACTCTTTAAAACTCAAATATAATCTATTTAATTCAAGTATTAATAAACTTTTATCAAAATTTAATTTAAATTACTCGAAATCTATCTCATCTAATTTATAATCTTTAGCTGAAACACGGGGACAAAGGGTGTAAAATATTAATAATAATAATAATAATAATTAAATCTAAGTAATATTTTCAGCGGAAAAATAATAATTTTATGAATTAATCAACCTGTTTAAAAAATCTCTTCGCTCCAAGGGAATGGATGTAAAATTGGAGCGTGAATCGGGTTTTTCCATGGCCCGGGTTTTCGAGAGTTGAAATTTGCTTGGATTTTCATTTAATATTCTCAGGAAATTTTGATTCTCTGAGGAAACGAAAGGAGCTCACGGATTTTTTTCATCTCTTTGTTTGGCTAATTGCGTTAGGTTTTTCTTTTTCCTTTTGAAATGAAGTCTTCGTGGGGTAAACTAAGAAGATTTGCGCATCACAAGAACGATGACAAGGATAAATTAGATTTTTTATCCTCAGCTCATTTGGACGAACTCGCCCAGGCGGCTCAGGTACTTTTATTTATTTATTTATTTCATTTTTCTTCTCTCTTTTTAAGTTATGTTTGAGCTTTGGTTGGATTTAAATGCAGATTAAGGTTACTTTGTTAATTGGGAACCGAATCGACTCCTATTGTTTCTATTTCTGAAAGTGTAGAAATGATGTCATGTTATTTGAACTGTAATTGAATGGATCGAGTTCAGTTGAGTGAAGCGAGCTTCTAATGCGTAATTTCACACACACACACACACACACACACACACATATATATATATATATAAATGGAATATTATTGCTTTGGGGGAATGGTAGAAATTTTAATCCATTAGGTTTAAACGTTAAGAAAATATGAATTGCTTTAGGATTGGGAGAATCCAAATCTGGATTAGAATATCTACAGAGAAGTTGCAGGCTTCTGTGTTTAATAATAGTGTATGAGCTCTTAGTAGATGGGTTTAATACCATAATCTCGATAACGAAGTAGAAAAAAGGTGGAGTACTAGAAACCGATGTGAAAGAAACTCTTAAGCTTTAGCTATGAAAAATGCTATACACCAATTAGATACCTATGCCGTCTTGATCATCCTTGTTAGGAACCCTAAATTGATTATGATTTGAAATAGGTATTAATTTTCATTAATTGAAGACTTTACTGATCACTGCCGCTCTAAATATCCATTGTAATTATCCTTTGTTTTGTTTATGTTTTAGTTTATTTAGTTAGTTCAGTAGTTAATTATTATTTCTTATTATTTGTAGCAAATGAGTTGTTAGATTTAATATTTAGTGATAGCCTTATGCTTTTGTATTTCTATATGAAAACTTACAACATTCTCCTTTAATGACTAATGCTTCGTGGAGGTTATCTTTGGTCAATTTGAAAGATTATAAATAGATTTTTCTTTTCTTTTTTTCATTTGGCTGCATTTACAGGATATGCAAGAGATGAGAAATTGCTATGATAGCTTACTTTTGGCAGCTGCAGCAACAGCTAACAGTGCATATGGTAAACATAATATGTGTTATATTGTCAGATTAATTGTAGGTATCACTGTGTTTTGCCACCCTTGTATTTCTAAAGGTTGGCTATGCCAATTACACGTTAATGTTATATGGTACTTTTCCAGCCAAAAGAAACTGGTGGGTTTTGAAGAAACAATTGGTTTCAGAAATAACATGATTATGTTTTTATTTTCTTAAAGAATGTTTCAATATCAGCTGATGTGTAGTCATACATGTTCCCTGATGTGGAATCCATATGAATCTATAAACAGCACACACACAAAAAAATCTTTTTTATTGTTACCCTGCAGCACATTCTAAGACCACCTTGCTCAAGCTGTTTGATTACCTAAAATCAGAGAAACTTAAACGTTATGAAACATAGTGTTGAATGATTATACCTTTGACAAGAATTTTATTCAGAATTCTCAGAGTCACTACAAGAAATGGGCTCCTGTCTGCAAGGAAAAAGGCTTCTACCCGATGATGAAGAAGGCCGTAAGTAGATTCCTTTGCTTTCTTAAGTTGGTTGGGCTGTTAGATCATTAATAGGCACATGCTGTGGAATAGGGAATGTCAGAAGATGGTATCCCTGCTCCATGTTATTGTGATATAATGGTTCTGCTGTAATTACATTGCACTTATTTGCAGGGAGGATTCTGTTAATGTTGGGCAACTTGCAGTTTGAACTCCGAAAACTTGTGGATAACTATGTGAGTGTTAATCATATTCGCAAAGGCCTAAGGACATTTTTGCTCTTGAACTTCTTAGAAAAATCACTTTGGCCCTTAAATTTTTTTGGCTTATTTTGGCCCTCAACTTCTATTTTTTGTGAAATTGAACCAATTGACGGAAAAAGTAAAAGATTTTTAATAGCTTTTGTACTTTTTTTAATAATTTTTCATATTTTTTTCTGATTTTATAATTTCTAATAACATAAATACATATTATATTATTTTTACAATTTTTTAAAATTAATTTTTTTATTTTTTTAAATGTTTTTTTTTGTTGCAAAAAGACGTAATTGAAGTCAGTATTGGGAAACAGAGAAAATAGTTGACAGACAATTAAACAGGTTCATTACTTTTCCCATTAGTTGGTTCAATTTGACAAAACAAATCAGAAATGTGAAGGTCAAAAGAAGTGCAAAAAATTTTAAGGGCCCAAAAGACTTTTTTTAGAAGTTCGAAGGCCGAATATGTCATTCAGTCTATTCACAATTGAATAAAATAGATTTTTCCAAGAAATTTGTTATGTGTTGTGTATTCCAATAATCCTATTGCTTAGCCTTCCTGATGCTCATTGTGCTTCAGCGCTCACATATATTGCTGACAATTACAAATCCATCTGAGTCACTTCTCAATGAGCTTAGGACAGTTGAGGTTCGTTTGCTTAAATCTCTCTATTGTTTAATTAAGAAATTTTGAACACTAATTCTTACATGCCATTTGATAATTCTTTTATGTTTGTAAATATTATGTTGAAACTAGCATGCTTAGTGGCCTTTGTCTTGTTTGCTGGTGCAGGATATGAAGAGGCAGTGTGACGAAAAAAGGTGGATCACATTTTCTCTACATGCTTATTTTGGTTGGGCTATGCAAGTATTTTTTCTGAATTTGGTTCATTATCTTCAGAAATGTCTATGAATATTTGGTGGCGCAACAAAAAGAAAAAGGAAGGTCTAAAGGTGGAAAAGGTGAAACTTTCACTTTGCAGCAGTTACAAACAGCTCGTGATGAATACGATGAAGTGGCTACCCTTTGTGTTTTCCGATTGAAATCTTTGAAGCAAGGTCAATCCAGAAGTCTTGTAACACAAGCTGCTCGTCACCATGCAGCTCAGGTTTCTGAATTTATTTCTAAAAGTTTCTCATGCCAATGATTTCTGCCTTATCATAAGTTCAATGCCGATAACCTCCTCTCCTTTCATTTCTGTTTCTCTTGTGAGTGCAGTTGAATTTCTTTAGGAAAGGACTTAAAACACTTGAGGCAATTGAGCCTCATCTTAGGCAAGTTACAGAACAACAACACATTGATTACCAGTTCTGCGGCCTTGAAGATGATGAGGAAGAAGGTGTGATTGCCTATGACCCAAACAAAGAGGGGGAATTAAGTTTTGACTATAGAGAAAATGAGAAGGGGGTTTGTGTTACATCTGCATCAAGGAATTCAATGGAGGTCTGTTTCTTACGCTATTGTAAATTTATTAATTCATTTTTGGAGTTGTTTGGTTGTAAGCAAGAGTTGCACCCTTAAACATAAAGGCTTGGCGAAATTATTATGATGCCCAAAACTTGTCATATTTCACTTTGACCTTCTTATCCCCTATTTTTCCCCATTTTTAACTACTAGCAGGATGGTTTTTTTTTTTTTAGAATTCCATAGAAATTGTAGCTTATTTTGACTAGTTAAATGGTTCAATTCACTCTAGTTCTGGAGGAAGGGGATGATGTCATTTTTGAAGCTGTTATAGTTGAAAGCAATAGTTGCACCTTGCAAAAATGAGGTCCAAAACTTGTCATATTCCACTTTTCTCTTATCCCCTATTTCCCCCCATTTTTAACAATTAGTAGATTGGTTTCTTCAGCCAGAATTCCTTACAAGTCAGTTTATTTTTGTTAGTGCTCAATTCATTCTAGTTCTAGAGGAGGGGAATGATGCCATTATTATTTGTACATTGATCTTTTATTGTGATCCATTTCTGTGTGTCTGTTCTGGCACTTTTTATTCCTAAAATATGGTTGTTTATTCTTCAGGTAGATGAAGTAAGTTCTTCATTTCCCCAAACTTCGAAGATGGAAAATGCAGAGGTGAATCTCCACTCAATTGTCAATTTTGGCCCTATTTTTTTCTTAATCATGAATTTTTGACTTGTTAGTTTTGACGCTTGCAATATGTGGTTCTTAAAGTATATATAATATTATTTTCTGCTGTCTGCCTGTAGGTAAACCCAGAGAAAAGCCATGGGGATATTCAGGTCCCAAGTAGGGAGCATAGAGTGGGTAGCCATTCAGCCCCCATATTTCCAGAAAGGAAGATTGATCCCGCTGAAAGAGTAAAACAGATGCTGCAGTCATCTACAAGGAGGTCTAACGCATATGTCCTTCCAACACCAAATGATTCATCATTTGCAGCTTCTTCAAGAACAATTAGCTCCGTTTCCCGCTCGAGACCAACAAATGTTGTTGGACACCCACACAATTTATGGCATTCTTCCCCGCTAGAGCAAAAGAACCATGAGAAAGATTCTGGTAATGGTCAACCATCAGATTTTACCATCTTGAATTCTGAGTCAGTTCCCAAGAACAGCAATAGTAATAATACCTCTACGCAACTACCCCCACCTTTGACTGAAGGACAAGAATCTACCCAGCTGGACATCTCCTCTGAAGCCAAAAATATAAAGAGAAAATCTGTTTCTGGCCCGTTAACTAGTAAACAATTGTTAACAAAGCCTGTTTTATCGGGAAGCAGTTCTATTCCATCAGCCGAACTTCCCAATTTAGCTTCTGCAGTATTTTCTCATGTAACGATTCCTCGATCATTGTCACCACTCAAAGTATCCCCAACTGCATCACCCCCTCTTATTTCTTCACCCAAACCAAATGAGCTTCACGAGCTTCCGAGGCCTCCTGATAGTTTAGCAGCCAAGTCAGCTAAACCTCCTGCCTTGGTTGGTCACTATGCTTCACTAATCTCAAGAAATCAAGAACTTTCTGTGAATCATATTCTTCCACTGGCAGCAAGTGGATCATCTCGTCTTCCAACTCCACCTTTGATAGTACCTCGAAGTTTCTCTATGCCTTCTCGCAATCAAAGAGCTTCGGCGAATCATTTTTCCAGGCTTTTGGAGACTCCACAAGTTCCAGACAAGGATGGAGAGGTTGCATTGCCTTTGTTGATGCCCATTAAACCAATACCCAGTGTTTCCGAAATGGCATCTCATTCTGACCAAATCAGAGGTAATTGGAGCTTCATTCCATTACTTCTTTTTTCTGCAAGTCGGTACATTACTATTTGCCATGTTTTATTCGTTTGTGAGATAATGTTGGAGTGTATGCAGGTGGGAGCTGATTCATTTGTGACTCGTCGAACCTTTATCCAGAAAGTCGGAGTAGGTGAGGTGCTGTGTGTAAATATGAGGTTTAGCGATGTGTTAGTAAGTGTGTGATCCCAAATCTTGATTAGGCTGCCATATTTATCGAGTATTAATGATAAGAAGTTCCCACGATTGCAGTGATCGTTGTTGTTTAACACGTATATTGTCCGTTGTTCACATAAGGAAATTGTTTTTGTTGTTTGATCTTTGATGTAAGCTGTGCTGTGGAAGCACCCTATGGGAAAAAAGGATTTGGGATTTGCCAGTTAAACGACCCAGAAATATGTTGAACTTCAATCTTTTTCATAGTTACTTTTTTCTTTGTTTCACACATGAATGAATGAAAACAAAGCAATTGAGTAAAGCCCTGATTTGGAAAAACAGATCGAAGAACTTAAATGCAATGTCTGATATTATTACAAGATAGTATTTATGTATATTTTTTTTGGTTTAATGATAATTTAGGTATATCATGTAACTGTTTGAATCCGAATTTTTTAAAAAGAAGAATATTTTTTTTTAACTAAAATCACTCAATAGATTCCTTTCAAACTTACATTTATCTTGCGGGATTCGAAAACATTCAAATTTATTTCATCCACTTCAGAGAGCATTTTTTAATATGAAAATGCATAAACAATATTTCATCTTTTATTAAGCATTTAATATCAAATCACCTAATTTTCTCAATTAAAGATCTCTTAAAATCATGAATTACACAATTCATTTAATTTTAATTAAGTTCATTAACTGGATGAAACTTTTCATTAGTATAACTGTTTCTGGAATCAACACAGTATATATAGCTTGAAGACATTTACTAAAGACTTGCATTGTTTGAATTTATTAATTTTCATCTGATATGAAATCGACTTAAGGAAAATTAAATTTATACTTAAAAATTCAAAAATATCTATACTGATAAAAAAACACCACTTCAATCATAATTAATAGTAACTTTCAAATTCACTTATGGTAACTTCTCTCCTCTTTATAGAAAAAAAAATCCAAGACACAACCAACACTCATAATAACACAACATATGAATATATAAATCCAACTTTAAATTTGATACATTGTTAAATATAAATTTAGGTACTCCGCTACATTATATCTATCTAGGGATAGGTATGAGTCAAGTTAGGTTGAAATTTTAATCGATTAGAATTCGATTTAAATATCACATTTTTTTCATTTTCCATTTGATTTGATTTGAGTTTAGAGAGTGTAGAACTAATATTTTGATATAACAAATAAGGGCAAAATGTTTTTGGATTAAATTGAATTTATTCAAAGTTTTCATTAAAATAATTCAAAGTCCAATCAAAATCTTAAAATGAGTATTTTGACTAGAAGTTTTGAAACTTCTACAAGAGTTTTGAAACTTTGCAAGACAGTTTCCCGAAAAGTTTTGATACTTTCCAATAGTTTCGAAATGATCTCAAGAGTTTCGAAACTTTCATTAAAGTTTCGATACTTTGGGTCCAACAGTCATATTTTTCCAACAGCTCTTTCGAAGAGTTTTGAAACTTTCCTCATAGTTTCAAAACTTTGTGTGCATAAAGTCTTCCAACGACTCAAAAACCTTCCCAAACGGCTAGAAACGACTAATAACTCATTCCAACATATAAAAATAAGTTCAAGACACCTGAAGAAGGTGACCAACACATATCCAAACAATCAAACACAAGAGAAAAGATTTTCATTCTTTATTTCTCTTTCTCTTGTAAATACTTTGTTTTTTGTGAGCTTTAATTTGCAAACATCTTACTTTTTTAGAGGTTTTCTTGTTTACAATTCTTTTCCTTTGTAAAAGGATTTTGATTCTAGCTAAGCCTTTGAAAAGCTAGGGAGATTGTAAAGGTTATCTCTTTATCCTTGAAAACGAAAGAACAAATTAGTGGATTTGTTGGAAAAACCTAAGTGAGGAGCTTAGATAGTGGATGTAGACTTTATTGAGGGAGTTGAACCACTATAAATAATTGTGCAAATTTTCCTATCTTTTTACTCCTTACTCCCTAAACTTCAAAAAAGTCAATTCACACCTCTTGGAATATTTCGGTTGATCGAACGAGCTTCATCGATCCCAACAATTGGTATAAGAGCAGGTCACAAATCGAAGGTCTAACAACCTTGTGAATATCCTTGAAGGCTCCTATCAATATCCTAAAGCAACCAAGAAGATGACTTTTTCCTTTGGCGCTTACTACATCGAAGATTCTCAACCAGTTAACAAGCCACCCTATTTCAATAGAGCAAATTATGCTTATTGAAAAAAATATGATGATGCCCTTCATTCAAGCTACCGATCTAGATGCTTAGAGCTCTATCTTGGCAGGTCATTCTACTCCAACTAGAGATATGGAAGAATGGAGTGAAAGAGAGAGAAAAAAGTTCTAACTCAATGCTAAAGCCATGCACATTTTGTTTTGTGCATCAGACCCGGATGAATATGGAAGAGTCTCATTTTGTTCAAATGCCAAGGAGATTTGAGACAAGCTCCAAGTCCCTAATGAAGGAACCAATGAAGTAAGTGAAACAAAAATTGGTCTTCTCAATCATAGCTACGAGAATTTCAAGATGAAATTGGATAAAGACATCAAAGTTATAATGGATAGATTTCCCATTATTGTCAACGGTCTCAAGGGATATGGAAAATCATCCCTAACGAGAAGCTTGTTAGAAAGATGATATATTTTTTTCCAAAATCTTGGCAATCGAAGAAGAAGACGATCATTGAAGCGAAGAACTTAAAAAATCTATCGCTTGATGAACTTATTGACTCCTTTCTCACTCATGAGATGATGGAAAAGAAGGAAGAACAATAAGAAGATAATAAACAAGAAAAGAAAGAAAAAGGTGTTGCCTTGAAATCCTCCACACAAGATGAAAGCTCATCAAGTGAAGAAGATGATGAATAAGAAGAAATAATCAAGTTCTTCAAGAAATTCCAACGATTCATGACATCCAAAGAAGACAATAAGCATGAATCGAGCAAGAAGAAGTGTCCCCATGTATGCTTTGATGCCAAAGGATGAGACATGTCAAGTATGGATGTCCTCTCCTAAACAAGAAGGGATCAAACAAAAAGAAAGCATTTGTAGCGGCTTGGAGTGATGAATAAGACTTCGATGATGAAGTAGCCAACCTATGTCTCATGGCCATTCAAGAAGATTCAATGGTAACTTTTAACTCTTTTGATTCATATTTTTATTCATTTAAAAAGTTACAAGATGCCTATGATGAGTTGTATTTGGAATTTGAGACCATGAATTTCAAATATAAGAAATTAATTTCAAAATTTAAAGTTGAAAATGATTTGATTTTGAAAGCAAAAGTTAATTTTGAAAAACAAAATGAAGCTTTGAAAAATGATTTAGAGCTTTCAAAAATTAAAATCAATGATTTACAAAAAGAAAATTTTGATTTAAAAGTTAAGCTTCAAAGCTTAACAAAAGAAAAAGAATTAATTTCTAAAAATAACTCATTATGTTTAAAAATGATCACATTGTCATTTGGAACATACTTGTCCTTTAAAGAAAGGAAAATGTTTTAAAATTAAAAAATTATGGGTTCCAAAAGGATAAAGGGGCATTGAAACTAATGTTCAAGGATCCAAAACAATTTGGATACCAAAATCCAAATAAGTGTCTCTTGTAGGTGTGTGGGAGCAATAGTGACAAAGTGAAGAAATTGATATGCTTGGCCACACTTGAAAAGGAATGAGTAATCTCTAAGCTTAATGTTATTAATTTTTATATAATTGGTTGCCTATTTGTTTTAAGCATGCATGAGTTTTGATCTTAAATGATTATGTATTGTTTCTCATCTCATGTATGTTGAAAAGTGTATTATAATGGACATTTTAAAGTTTTAATGATTTTTCATAATTTTTAGTTCATCATAATGATTTTTTGTCAAAATTTGGTTTTAATGTTTGTTTTACAAATTTTGATTTTTGACTTTTAACTTAAATGCTTATTGTCCGCTATTTGTGAGTACTAATTATGGATGAAGAATTATGTGCAAGTATACACAATCGAACAAGTAATACAGTGATGAGTGAGTATCGTTCTCCACAAGGATTGGGGGAAATCAAATAAGTTTGTCACGACACTTTACTTTGTCACCTAAGTAAAGTTAGTGATGGTATTTGCAAATTAAAATGATGTGGCAAAATGAATGGATGTTGTGGAAATTGTCTGATGGTAATATGGTAGCAAATGGATATGATATGGCAAATTAAATTATGCTGAGTGCAAACAAATAAAAATATAAAGGCAAAATAAACTGTAAATACTGGATTTGCTTATAAAGACTTTAGACTCCTCACACGACAAGCTACTATGAGAATGAGTGATAGGAGTTACTTAGGAAAATCTAGGTCTACTTCTCATAATGGTCTTACTTTTATGCTTTATATGCCCGACAGAGTTTACTAAGGCTGCCCTATACTATCTTAGTTAAGGGACTCGACAGATTGAAGATGCCTTGGCAAAACCGATTGGCGTTAGCTACTGCAGGGATCCTATTGGTCCAGATAACAGGATATGTCTCGGCAATACCTTTTTGCTGCAGCATTAACATCTAACCTGTCAATCGTGCACTACTCCTTTTAGTCGAATGAAATCTAGCCTTATCTCTAAGGTGGATTAGGCCTAGTTACTATCTAGAACCCCTTGCTTATGTGGTTTCTCCCTAATTTCTCTCGAATACTAAAGATGTGCTACTTAGACATTCTCTCGAACAATAAGTAATCTCCTAAGGAATGACTACTCTCGTAGCTCTTACAACCTTAAGGAACCACTAAGCTTCATAAACAAAACAAAATATAACATAGAAAAATAACCATTCATTAAAGCAAAACTTAAATATCCAAAATAAACTCCCACCAAATAGGATTAGTTCATGGTGGGGTTCGAAATAAGCAAGCACAAAGCAAGTTAATATGTTCCTTACAACCCAAATAATAAATAACAAAAGCAAAGAGCAAAGGGAATGAGAAAAGCCTTCGACGTGCACTGTCGGAGCTTCTCTCGGCCACCACGAACTGTCCCAGCTATCTAGCTCCTCTCAGATGTCTAGAATGCCACTGCCTTTAGCTTATCAGCGGAGGAATTCCATGGTAAAAATGATTGATGAAAAAAAAGAGAGAACTTTTTCTCTGAATTTTTAGGCTCTTGGCGACTGTTTAAAAATCTCCAAAGTCTCCTTAAAAAGTCATGCTTCATCTTTTATTTATAGGGGAGAATAAACCTAGGGTTTTGTGTTAAAATCACATTAC